AGGTTTAATCATGAGACTTCTAGTTACCGATAATGTACTTTGGTTCAGGGTGGACTAAGGGAAATAAAATTATTGGATTCAACCCAATAATTCTGGTAGATCTTTTGAAAGCTTCATCAGTGTCATTAAATCTAACTCTGCTTGAAAATTTTTAATCAAACATTAGGACACTTTCAAATAGTTCCCTTGGTATTGGATGCCCACAAAGATTAAAAGTGATGATAAGTGATTGTTTGTTCCTTCATAGAATCTGAATATTCTGAAATCCCCCATCATTTTCTCCTAGCCTGAACTCTTTACATACTCTGTTCTTACAAGAATTTGAAAGGCTTTGTGATAAACGTACCAAGCTAATGCAGAAATCTGTGCAATTATTATCAAGTGTAATTCAGTCATCAGAAAATCACGAAATCTTCTGCAGAATATATAGAAGTGACCTATTTTGAAATAGCTGCTCACAAATGGTAATCTTGACAGTCCGAGATTAAATATAGATTACACCGAAATCGTCTCATGTATAGGCTACAGATTAAACAATGATTCCATAGTTGTCAATTGTTTTGCCAAATTGGACTAGTTGAATATTGAGCTCTGCTGCTTTTTATTGATACAATATTGCGTAGTTCCAGAAAGAGCCGCTGCCATACTGAATCTTTAGTTATTAAGAATTGGCATGATTACCTGCTAATGAACATTATTTAGTTAATAAACCCAATATAAACTTGCGAAGCCTTCTGAGAAGCCTATCGTTACATCGTTACAAATAGTTCAAAATTGGCGCGTTGCAGTAATAATGCAAGGGACACTTGCACGCAGCTAGAAAAACAATGATTTTAAATCACGTATTTGTCGTACAAGCATGTGATTCTAAATATGTGTAAGATAGAGAGAAATTTTTTTAGTCTTGCAAAAAAACACAAACGCGCGTAAAATCTTGTACCCTGAATAACTCTCTGGGAACCTTTCAATTGACCAGTAGAAATGAAGATACTAATTGCGTGGTAGTAAGAAAACGAACGTCTGATTTTCATCAGAATCGCCATCACACTATATAAAGTTGAGGAATCGATAGTTGAGTCAACACTGGAGTACTCTTTGAATACTCCTTTCCGAAGGATTCACATGCAGCGAGGTCAAATTTAATTGAAATTCCGAATTTATATTAGCTGATGATGAAGTGAATATTTTCAAATATTATATGATTTGAAAATGTGAAAAGTCTTAAAACCGAATGATGTTTTTGGAAAGGTGTTTACGAAGGTCGAATATTACTCAGCAACCGTTGTGTGTCGTATACTAATAGTGCGGCGCATAGCGTGGAATTAGCACGCGCTGATACGATGAAAATATCCGCGTATTCCGATTAACGTTTTGATCGTGCACGGGCGAAGAAGAAAGAAGAAATATGGGAGCCGCGCGAGGCGAGTTGTTGCTTGTCGTAGCCAGCGATATATCTCGCGCGTGCGCACGACGCGCGAGCGACTTTAATCCGGGCTGTGCGCCGTGCGCGCGCAACTTTTCGCGAGCCTGCGTCTCTATGTACGCACGTACGCGCAAGCCCGTTTGGCTGTCGAACCAATCCTTGCGAGACCGATAGCGCTTTGCTATTACGGCGACGGCAGCGCACGACACGCTAATCAACTTACACAAATGAGAGCCTCGGATTTCGCAGACTCGCCCTCGGCGTCTGCGATCGATGGAGAGCCATCTTTCGGAGTCTAACTGTCGCTCTAACTCGCCAGTCCCAGGCTGCTCCTATTAGAAAGTGACAAGCGTATCGCGCAACTTTAAATCCATTAGCTTGAGTACAACGGTCGATGTTAAGGTTCTGCCTGATCGATACTCGTATGTACACAATAGCGTTCGGAGGGTGAAACTCGTGCCCGCTCTCTGGATTGATCGCAAGAAAGTTTCATCAATTCCGGGCAGAAACAATGACGGGCGCGATACTATAGAAAGATTAAAAGAATGCGAAGGGCGTAGAAAGAGGGGATTCAAAAAAAGAGATAAAATGAGAACAAAAAAAAGCGAGCGAGCGTGGCGGAGATTGCAGGAACTGCTTCGAGCGGCTGGATGGACGCTAGTAGGGCAACAGGGAGGTCGGATCGATATTCGTGGCTGACCGGCTTGGTAAACGCGTGAAAGCCGCGCATATCTTTATACACACACACACATACTCCCTCCGACCTAGCCCTCCCGCAGGGGAGGCGCGCAGTGTTTAGTCACGCGTTCTCGCTAGACACTTGTCTTACGTGGCTTAGGACTGAATCGGAAACGACAGCTATATTGAATGACGGGCCAGTGATATGTATAAAACGGTTCGTTTTTTGCGCTACTCCCTGTCTCCGTATCTATGTAATATCCGATGAATGACTGAACCAATCCTTCAATCATTTTCACCTTTCGATTAGAACACATTTCCTTTCAAGATTTTTCAGTGAAATCTCATTAAAGAAGAAAGATTCGATTCGTTATTCGTTCCGAGAGCTTCGCTATTCCGACCTTGTGCTTTGGTCTAACATAAATTGTACCAGTTATCACTAATTTATATTGCAGTCGTTTTTTCTAAATATTTTTAGAGCAAAGGACTTAACGTGACTCGGAATAACTAGTGTTCATTTGACAACTCCAGCTATATTTAGATAAGTGTGTGAAATATGCGAGGTCATGCTCAAATTCTAATTTAAATTTAAACTGCTAAATACGTCGACTTATTTTAAAAGTTACGTACTAGCTTTTATTCAAGAATAGTGTCAACGTTAGTTGAGATAGAACGTCCTATAGCGGGCTATATATACGATTGATAACACGCTACAACAACATGTGATACTTGAAAAAGTTCTACTTATACTTTTCGCCCACACGGTAATTTCATTAACAACCATACACACGGCAAATAAATGGTTTTCTCATGTTTACTCAACTGAAACTGTAGAAGAATAACGACCTCGTAGATCGTGAGCACATAAAATAACGATAAACAATGAGAAGTTAATTCATTGCCTAATACGTAATTATGAATGCTGTATGTAGCATAAATCAAATGTTGAGAAAGAGAGAGAGAGAGAGAGCTTTAGAATTCAATTTTTAATTTATGCCAATGCAACGTTTGATGCTTGTATCGATTAAGAATATTTAAAGATCAATCAACTTTAGACAAATTAATGATTCCTCCCATTGTCAATGGAAAAACTGTGATCGTAGCAAAGTATGCACGATAGTAACTAAAATCATGTCTAAGTTCAGGCTATCAACTCGTAATGCAATTCTTCCACTTTCCGGCTGATCGCTATTTATTTTTTCATCACTTCCGCGGTAAGCAAGTAGAGGTGTACACGAGTTGGCGCGACGTTTATCGCCGGCCTGTTTCAAGGATTCGAGCTGGCGCTCGCATATAGCCGCAGCGACTGCAACACAACGGGCAAAGCGAAAAGTCGGAGCGGAGTCGAGCGCGCGTAAACGAAGGCGTACTGGCCGCGGTTGGACGAGTCAACATCAGTGTAGCCGGACGATCAGCGCCACGTCGAGTCGCGCGAGCCGCGCCGCTGGTTTTTCAGGTGGTCGTCGTAAAGCGGACCGCGCAAAACGGTTAAAGGCGAAAAGCCGGTGGAACGCTGAAGCGACTGAAGACCATCGAAGAGGAGCACGAAGCCGAGGACAGGGCCATCAGCAGCATGTCGCGGCGCCCGATGTGCAGTGCGTCAAACGGGGGCCCGAGCTTTCCAGTAATCCTCTCGTTAAATTCGGCCTATATTCGTCCGGCTGTAGGAGCGTCGATTAGCGCGCTCGAGTCAACTAGCGCGGGTGGGGAGCGTCGTCGTGTCGAGGAAATCGGCCGAGAACACCGTCCACGACTGTTAGCTTGCGAACCGCAACGTCACAGTCAACGATCGGGCTATTCGTTTTGCAACTGCACAGGACCCGATCGCGCTCCCGTTTCCCGAGCTTCCGTCTGTCTACCTGTGTGTGATCGGTCCCATTATCGCCGTGCCGGTGGACCTGCAGTGGCTTTAATGTTCTCGCTTCGGCGGCAATGTGCCAGTGTGCAACGCTTTCGGACTGATTATTTTCTGAAAGTGACATCGAGTCATTAGTGATCAGTCAAAATTTACCTTTAAAAGCGCATTTTTTACATTGCAAAATACAAAATGTCGTCGTCGAGTAAGATGAAAGATTCGTTTTTTACGCTACGTACCAGAATGACACGAATGTTATCAATTACGGACATCACCACGCCTGTCCCATCAGATTCGGTACAATGCACATTCATAATCTAGCAATTCAAATGTCAGCGAATATGTAGACGAAAGCATTTCGCGATGTTTGACTTGAGCCTGTTGCATCGCCAACCGAATTCTCGCTTTATTCATAGACTATTTTTACTCTATAATATGTTCGGAAGTACAGCTTACAACAATTTGCTCACATTATTTTATCGTGAAAACTTTATTGTATCTTTGTGCAAGTAATCAACACCTGTGTGCATGTGTGTGTGCCTGCGCGCGTGACCATATGGTTGAGTGAAGAAATATACACAGTGAATAAATGTACTATTTATTACTCGAATAAGTCAATATGAAACGGACATGCCATATACCTTATAAATATAATTTTCGGATAGAACGTGTTTAACTGTAAATTTGTATTAAATATTTTCTCTAACCTTACAATTATATTCGCAAATGAGTCATGTAACTTTTTTGAGTTCAGTTACAATAGATTACTGCTTTCTTTCCGCTGAAAAAATTATCAGTAGATAAGAATTTCAGAAATATTGTTGTATAATGAGGCCTGAAAACAAGTGAAAAGGTTTTCCCGACGATAAACGAAATCTCATACTTATCATCAACAATTTTAAGTATTCCCTTGCAAAATTATGATAATTATATTAAAAGAAGTATCATGAAAAAGTATTGTACAAACATTAGCATTGACAAGAGTATAGCTTGCAAAAAGTAAATATCTATTTGGAAACTAATCGAAATTTTGAAATGTTACAGATGGCTGGCCAAGATCCAAAATGGCAGAAGGATGCGTCGGATCAAAATTTTGACTACATGTTTAAATTGTTAATAATTGGTAACTCATCAGTGGGCAAGACTTCGTTCCTGTTTCGCTATGCCGACGACTCTTTCACGTCGGCCTTCGTCTCAACTGTGGGAATTGACTTTAAGGTGAAGACGGTGTTCAGGAATGACAAGAGGGTCAAGCTGCAAATCTGGGTCAGTATAGCACGACAAAAGAAAGAAAGAAAGAAAGAAAGAAAGAAAAAAGAGAACGCCTCGCTTCCTGCTCGTACGCAGATCCATCTCTGCTATTCACGAACGCGAAGGTCATCGTATTTGCGTCGTCGCCGCGCCATCGGTTGTCGCGACGCACGCTCGCAATAGTTTTCCCCCTTTTACCTGTGCGCATCTGATATGCGCCGGATATCTCCTCCGGAGAGTGTCCTTGAAACTCCGGATACGCGAGCCCTCAATATAGCTTTTCCTTTACGAGATGTCTGCGAGTCGTTAAAACAAAGCCCTTCGACCATCATTCTCTTTTTTGAACCCTCGCAAGGCTTACAGCGTGTACTCTTTGGCGGAAACAAACTCTATCGGAGATTAATCTGGTTGCTCAATTTATTGTTTCTCTAAATGCTCATGACGACAAGTACCTACTCAATAAACATAGATTTTTGTTATTGCGCCTTCAAATTCGATCATTTCGTTGCGTATAATCTTTTTCTGCATTAAAACACATCTTCGCAAGTTTACGATGGTGATAAGAAAATGCTGGTAACGATGACAATTTGATATGCAGGATACGGCAGGTCAAGAGAGATATAGGACCATCACAACGGCCTACTACAGAGGAGCAATGGGCTTCATATTGATGTACGATATTACCAATGAAGAGTCCTTCAATTCGGTTCAAGATTGGCTTACACAGATCAAAACTTACTCGTGGGACAATGCTCAAATCATCCTCGTCGGCAACAAATGTGACATGGAAGACGAGCGAGTGATTAGTTTCGAACGGGGCAAACAGTTAGCTGAACATCTCAAAGTTCAATTTTTTGAGACGTCAGCGAAAGAAAATACTAATGTCAAGGTAATTTTTATGTACCTAGCTTACTTTAGGAAAGTACTTTTTCTAAATATAACAGAAATAAATTTATCGATTACTATTAATATCCAACTCCAGGAAATATCCAAGATTCGCGTTTGATTAAAGAGCTACTCTGATAGTGCATCGATCGCGTCGGGTACACAATTATTCTTTTATCGGACAGCTGCACAATATTAACAAACTACGCTGCTTTTGAATTACTATAATTAAAATCAGATATTAAGTTTATTAAAATAAATACTTGTAGTGGATTTATTTGCTGAAATTTTCAAGCACGAAAAACCACAAAGAATCACAAGTTCTTTCAAACGAAAACTTGGTGCAATAGAAGTTCATGGACTTTCGTCAACGAGTGTAACAACTTTATTCTTTTAAACAATTATTTGCAAGAAAATTCAAGTTCAGTTGAAAAATCAGATAACTTCAAAGCTGACTCTGAGCTCATAGGTATCAGTAGGTTAAAGATTTGGCGATTGCAGGGCGATAAAAGAAATTGCAATATAATAGAAAAAACAGGAAGTGAGAGAAGTGTCGAGTAAATAGAAGGTCATTTGAATGATTTACAGGCGGTATTTGAGACTCTAGTGGACATAATTTGCGACAAGATGAGCGAGTCCCTGGACAACGACCCCACTTTAATGGCAGGTGGAGCTGGACAGAACAAGGGTCAGCGACTGACCGATCAGCCGACCAACCCCACGGATACCAACTGCAACTGCTAAGAGTCGCACCTGAACGATGAGAAGCAGCTAGCCTCTCCGTTTCAAACGAAATGGCTCTCTATAGCAAGTCAAACCTCTTCGCCGTTCCTTCCTTACTACGTTCGTCCATTTTATTTTCTGAATTTTGTTTTCTTTCCGATGGATTGTTCATATCATTTTGTTCGGATAGATAGAGACAAAATGATCAAAGATGGACGAGTTTTCGCTTCGACGGTTGCTCGAGCGTAAACGCTCTAGGGACTTGATCATTTCAGGTCGATACTTCGACTTTCATTTTGTTTTCATTTTGCTTTTCAAACGCAATGCGTTCAAAACCCGGACTACGCTTTGACTCGACGCGACAAACAATATTTATATATTAATTGGCCTGTTTCTCACTGTACCAATGACGTGTGCGAAAAAAGTATGTCAATATTACAAGTAAATTAAACGTTGTTTGATAACTTGTCAAGTGTGCAAACAAAAAATCATCTCTTCCAAAGATAACATAGAAATGCTCGGATTACCTAACTGCAATGTAAGGAATGCATTGGATCTCGCGTTCAATGATACGATGTGTTCTCGTTTCAAAGGAATTTAATTATTGTTTTGGTTATCAAGCCCTATGCTTTTTTTCAATTGAATTCAACTATGTGGCATTTTCATTGTAAGCTTACAATATGTGCTGACAATGGAAAAGCGCCATTCGTCAATGCATTAAGACTGTATAGGATAGAGAAGAATATCTTTGAATTTGAATTATGGTACATTGTTTAAAAGCTGTTATACGAAGATTTTTATTTAGTCGGAAATTAGTTCTCCTTATAATTTTAATGGCGTTAAATTCTAACATACTGCAACGAATTATCATTGATGGGATGCGTAACGCTTATCACCATCGTGTGTTTGAATGATTTTTGTTATCATAAAACGCTTATCTGCTCCATCCTTCAATCTTTCAGCTTGATTGAATCGGCGTAATGCATTCAAGTTTTATAATAACAGTAATCATTCTTTCAACTAATTTTCTCTGCACAATGTAATTTCGCGTAAAGTTGGTGTAATGCATTATTGTGTAAAAGAACCAAGCGAGCGCTCGAGCATCCGCAGTTATGTTTTGTAAGATTATGTGTTGGCTGAAGTAATATGGACCGCGTCCATGAGGCGTCATGTATCATGTGAATGTCTAAAAATACATTTGACATATGTTCAAAAAATACATACACTAATCGTGTACTATCTTTACATAATTACGACAAATTACGTGAACATGTACCATCTATTGAAGCAGCGTGTCTATAAACATTCGTAAACCTAATTTTTATTCATTACGACAGTTCTTATGTATCAAGAATGTCGGGAACAGCTTTTTGCTACCTATTATTTACTCGAAACAAACACGAATTCATTTTAATTCAACAGTCTTCTATGTTTCATCAAGCTAAATACATTTTTCATTCATTCAGTTTGAAACCATTCAATGTGCAAATGCGTTGAAAATATAAATAGTAGATTAAATGTTTTAAAAGACGTAGAATATTAAGAATAGCGGAAAGTACAGAAATGAAATTTTATCATATTATTACATTTTTATTTCTTTCTTTATTCAGCAATCATTTTTATAGCCAAAGCTTGTCTGAGTAATGCAATTGATGATCTATCTTATGATTCTAGGTTTTATTTATATAAATTTTCTTGACTATCTATTTTTTAACAAAAAGCTGTGTATTTAAATTTCCAAAAATATGGTTCTCAGTAAAGTAATGCAAAATTGATAACATTTGGAAAATCATCTTGAAGCTACACATTGAAGCATACTCATACTAAGAGCAAAAATTATAGTCACTTGAGTTGTAGTGATACAAATTCTAATATTTTACAAGTTATTAACTGCAAAATAATTAAAAAAGTTTTGCTATTCAAAGTTGATCAAGCCATAAAATCCATCAAGTTCGAATTTATTATATCTAATTAAATTTTTTCCTTAATTGTGCATTTATATATATTGATTATTTTCATAATTTATATGGACAAATTATCAGAGTTGCTATTTATTATTAGATTTTTTTAAACTGTATGTCATCTTTCGGGATATTTTAGAATATTATTACATTTTGTATGAAAATGGAAGCTGCCATCGATCATATAAAATAAGCTTCAGTCGTTCAATGGCTCGATCTATATCGTCGTCTCTCAAAAACACGTAATTTTCTGAAATGACTAGTAAAATTTAGAAAAATATCGAAATTTCTATATTGAGTTTTGATCATCAACAAAAAATCATAAATGGAATAAGTTTTATATAGCACACTCAAGTTTTTTTGGCATTTTGAATTAAAACGGTATTTGTGTAAAATTTTGTAGTATTGTTGAAAATAACCACTTTGTTATATTCAGACGATGATTTGCGCAAGAATTACGTCAATTATGGCGAACAAAAAACATCAAAGTAAGAGATCACGGCGCTAAATCGTGTCCGCATTAGTACTTCAGCTACCACAGTGTTATAATTAATATAACTATACGGGCAAGCTGCCAATTGTACATATACAAAAAAACTATATTATTGATTCTGTAATGAAGTGTAATGTACGCGTTATTCATTCATGTGACTTATAAAGAAAAAATAAATGAATGGGGACCTATTCTTCACCAAGCAGAATAGTAACCAAGTTATTAAAAATTTAGTGAAACATGTATTCACCCTCACCATTCTTCTTATGTTACTTATTACAATTTAACGTCAACTATTTGTCCCTAATCATTTCAAATAATTTTTTGTAAATTATTTATCCTTTATTTTATTTGATAGAAATTATTTGTTTCCATGTGATTTTTGATGCAAAGATATCAAAGTTAGACGATTCATTCATTTTGAGTCTAAGAAATCTTGAAGAATGTTGAAATAAATTGATTTTTAATAAATTCTTTTATTAATTATATTGACTTTTGAAGACTAGTAATATATATTATACACTATTTTTACTGAAGCATAAATTAGTAAAAGTACTATTCATATATATGTCTAGCTTGAGGTATGTAAGTAAAAAGAATCAAGATAGCACGTCGCAGATACATTATTAAGGGCACAAAAGTCGTTTCTTGATACTTGTATGTATGTATGTAATGTGTTAGCAGTCTTGTTATCTGTCTAATGTTATAAAATAATTTAAATATTGAATATATACTGTAACAACTTCTGCCGTAAAAAATATGAAAACATGAACTATTTTAAATCGAAAATAACAATCCACGACGGGCGAAAACAATGTAAAATACTACTGTAACATTTAATCATTTTCAAAATACAATTGAGCTATAAACAATGTTAAAATTTTGTGTTAGCTAATATATCATGTATACATACACACATCATTAAAGGTAATCAACTGTGTAATTGATTCAACATGGATAACAGGCGTATATGTACCTATATGCATTTGCCATATTATATATACATAATAGAAAAAACCGTTGTACGTATGTTCATTCAAAAACCTTCAAAGTCGTGTTATTTTTATTCTGAAAGAATAACAGAATTGTTTATACAAAACTCTGATTTTATAAAAGACAAGCAATGTACTAGCGTTGAGATAAAAAAAATAAGATAAATTATATACTTAATCTTCATTTTAGGGATCGGTATACGAGTGATATATTAACATTTATGTCTACTTTATAAAATCTTTACTACTTTTCATTGATTATTTCATTGACTGATTATTATATAAGGCTATGAGTTCTGATTTGTAAAGGATTTGATGCAAGATGTGGACAAACATAATATATTATCTAAAGATATTTTTAAAATCTTCATTTTATATTGGATAAAGTTAATTGAAATAAATAAAATTTATAAGTAGTTTTTCAACAAATTAACTTTACTTTTATATTTTCTTAAATTCATTAGATTTATTTGATTATACATATTAAATTCATTAGAATATATTGTTTCTATATTCATTAAATTTAAGTGTAGAAAGAAAGCTAATGAAGCCATGGCTTAATTCTTTTTAAACAAATATTTATGCCTTTTATAAAACTATCTTTCAATAATTTAAAATATACACTAAATTTTTATCGTTACTACACGTGAACTTTTTATTTAAAATCAACATTTGAAATTGAGTAAAATAATATACATCGCATGCATTCCTTCTATTCGAGTAAATACATGGTCATAAATTTTATATTTTCATTCATATCATCTCAAAGTTCCTTTTATGATTCTGATCATAAAACTTACTCAAGAATCTTTGGCGGTTTGCAATTTGTATCAATATTATGTTATTTGCTAAGGATGTGAAGGGAATATTCGATGAAATAGAAATTTACAGTGCGAGTCTTAAGTGACTGAACAGAATATCCCTTTTGCCGATTTCAAGAAAGAAGAAAATTCTGTATTTAATACTTATTTGTATGTATTTGACTTAGTTGAAGTATAACTTTATGAGTAATTGAAAAATAATAAAATTGTAATCGGCCTTTTTTTTTCCTTAAAAAATGACTTGTGTAAAATGACTTGTGTAAAATGACGTTAATGTCTTAGTTTATGATAACTGCGTAATAAATTTAGTAAAACTATATACACACACGCACACGAATTTATTATAAAACGGTTATATAATGTTAGGTTTATAAATTTATCAGACAGTTATATATTAATTTCTAAAAATGCAATCTAATACACAATTTTAATATATGTTATAATTAATTAATATAATATCAAATTTAATACAAATATTAAATATTAATATTTAATATAATATTTTATTTTAATATTTATATTTATTTTTATATTATTTAATGTTAATATATGACCAAACGCTAGAAAATTTTCTAATCAGAATTAAAACTTTTAGACGAAATTATGTATCGATGCGGATGACAGAGTTTTGTCACAGTGTCACAAAATAATTTACAAGTTATTTTTTATTTAGATTGAAAAAAAAATTTAATTGATAGCTACAGTGTATTGTATTTAAAGTTAAGTCTACATAAAGGTAAAAGCGTTATTTTTAAAATAATTGGAAAGAAGAAAAATGGTAAGGGTAAGATAAAAACCTCTGCGACGTCTTATGGAAAAGCTCAGCTATGAAAAATCGATCATCTCAGAGGACAAAACCTTATAAGACCATAAATCACGTAGCACATAAGCTTACTTAGTGCTAATGCTGCAGGGGATACATATAAAACGGATTTTCACAGCCTTCTGTTTCCATTGTATACATTAAGCTTGTAATGAGTCATTAGATTTCAAGAAACTCTATTGGATGTTTGCAATCGAACTTAGAGGGGGGCTAAATTTATTAACAATAAAAAATTCTGCTTTATCTCCGACAGTTACTTCGATGCAGCTTTTAAAAATATTTATTCAGTTTCCAACCATTAAGTAAATTGAACAGGAATACAAAATCCTCTAAACGAATTTTTAAACATTTAGAAACTTGCATCGAGTACATTCAATAAAATCTGGTGTTATTTTACTTCAGATTCTGTTTAAAAATTGATGGACAAATGAAATCATGCCAAAAACATATTATTTGCAAGAATTTGTCTTGATTCAATAATAAACACCAAATGCATGATTAAGCTCAACGTGATAATTATTTTTTATTTTCTAAAGGCATGGTATTCCGATGACCACTCAATTGAATCCCGAAATATCTGAAAATTAATTAATAAGGCTATTGATTTATCAAAAATTTGTTTATTGATATCAAACTTAACGTTGAGTTATTCTATATACATTTGTCAGCGTTCAAGTACATGTAAAGTAGCAATATAATACAGAAATTATACAATACTTGACATTGAAAGAATAAACACTTAAGTAATATTTTTTTAAGTCGGATATGATAAAAATACAGTATACATGTATTATTACATGATAAATAAACGAGTTTTGAGTACAATCGAGGTTAATATTACGAAGCTGAATTGTTGATCAACAGACTATCAGCATTAAAATGCTTTCGCATTCTTATATTACAATAGGGTGTTTATATACCTAGAGGTATAATGGACTAAAGAAATAAGTCTTATGACACTGAGCTAATAGCATTCGGTGGACCTCCCATGCCCATGAGAACATTGTCAAGCCATTTCAGCGGTCCATTGAGGAGGATTTCTATCCAGCAAGGTGTTGCGGTCACGTCTTCACGATGATAATCAGCGCCCCAACCTTTGACGAAAGATAATCTGAAAAAGCACACGATAACTAAGCAAATGATTATAACGAACAGCAGCTGAGAGTCGAGAAGATAGTTAAACGCTTACCTGATAGTGCACAATTTTACGAGATCGTAAACAGCGCTAAAGCCATGCTCAACTACCTTATTAAGTATTTCACCGAACATCTGGGTGTCGAAAATCTTCAAAGTCATACCGGAATGCACTTTAATGACGTCAGTAGGGTTGTATTGGTTCTGATGATTACAGATCCTGGACTGCACGAAGATGGCCTTAGCGGAAACACATTCAACGAAGAGTTCACCGCCGGCATAGTGAAGACAGATGCCTTGGCCTATGTGTTGTCTGACGTTCTCGATAACCGAGTTGCGATGCACGTTGGTTAGTTTACCAAGGCAGAATCGATCGCCATCGTGTACGGGACTTGTGAAACCGTCGACCGAGACTACGGGCTGCGTGCATTGGAAGGGCTCACCCACCCGACTGTTAAGCTCGTAGTAGGCGATGGTCCCCCAGCAGCCCGGTTCTTGGTAAGAGATGATTTCTGTTTCGTTTGACATAAGGTATTTCATGCTCTGCAATCAAATGGTAAGAAACAATTCGTTTAATACTGATATACACACTGCAAAACAATTCTTAAAGTTTCAATATACATCGCTAGACACGCGTCTGAAACGAGTACTTTTTCGCAATTTCCAAGCAAAATATCATGTATTGTTCATGTTCTATAAGAAAAACAAATTCATTTTCCAACTTAATACTGCAACGGGACGACCGTTATATCATTTTTTCTATGACATTAAGCAAACATTTCATAATTATTGTAATAAATAATAAAAGGCCAGAAATATCCGAAACGGTGGAAAGTGGAGACTCTGAAATGTCGATTGGCCTTGAAAACAATAAGGCGCTCAATGTTTTTGATTGTTTTTCTCAAGTATGCGGACAGTGTATGAGTCTTCTAAATAGTCAGTCAGGCAATTAATAAAAAAATAAATCGTCTTTCGTGCTTGTGAAGTCAATGAAATGTATGTAAGCTTATGATTACGAAAAACGAAGATGGCTCTTATTTCCCCTTACATTAATAAAATTTCCATGATATATACTGTAGCTTTTCCTAGGGTCGATAAATTTCTCTGACTTTTCACTGTAACCCAGGGACAATGGGTCTTTTCTTATGTAATAATAGACTTGTTATTTCACAAGTAATCCATTGTGTTTTGTTTGTGTAAAAATATTTGTTAGAATCAAAAATATTTTAAGTCGTCATTATTTCTTTTACATAACAGTAAGCATGATTCAAGTTCTCGGGCACAACCGCGCGCTGCCTCAAGATTCATTTAAATTACTTATTACATTTTCAGTTCTAAAAAATATGTTTATAGTTTGCAAAAATCAATATTCAAATCAATAAATCTTGATAAATCTAGACATTATTATTGGCTATAAAGGATCGTGTATTTCCTGTGAAAAAATTTATATAGCCTCATGAAAAAGTACGTTGTTTATCATTACATCACTTTCTATTCATTTGCTCTCATATTAATGTTGCTATCAACAAACAATGGATTACTTCTAAAATTGAAATTCATTTGGTTGCTTAATCATTTCTGCCAATTACGTATAAAGAAAGCGATAGTGGTTAAATCAAATTACAATATCTTGGAGATCGATCACGGAGAAGCTCATCGTCCCTAGACTATTGCTATATTGATTCAGTTAGCACAAGGCTAACTTCTAGAAGAGATCGAAAAAAAGAGTGGGAAAGAGAGGGAGAGGGACAGGATGAGAGAGAGAAGGAGAATAGAAGAGAGGGAGAGAAGGTGCGAGGGTGAAGAGGGAGAGAGAGTAGGGAAGAGCAATGCTGATACAGAGTCGCATGGCTCCGTATGATCAAGGAATGCTTAAACGTCTAAATTCGTCGGTGTGGCGGAGATGACATACGACATCTATTCTGACGGCGTAACAGTTTCTATATGAAGGATTTCCCTTTTATCCTGTTAGTCCGCTATCACAAAGGTGTTATATGCTCAATTTGTAGTATAATTATTTTACTATAAAATATTTTCTCTTAGAATAGAAATTTGGTTTTAAAATCAGGATTGGTTGAATAGACATCAATGAAAAAATGTGCTAAATTGAAGAAAAGTTGTAAAATGCAGCGAAATGAATACTAAGGTTTTCCATGTACAAACCTGTAACTGTGCGTAGAGGTGCTGCTGCCTTTGGGCGTAAGCCCGCTGCTGGTTGTACGCGTTTATCAGCTGCTGGTTGTACACGTTCATCAGTTGCAGGTGTTGCGGGCTGATCCGATGCCGGTTTTGAGCGTTGAACTGTTGCTGGTTTGGCGAATTGATCTGCTGCTGGTTTGGCGAATTGATCTGCTGCTGGTTTGGTGAATTGATCTGCTGCTGGTTTGGCGAATTGAACTGCTGCTGGTTGTATTCGTCGATCTGCTGCTGGTTTTGCGCATTGATCTGCTGCTGGTTTTGCGTGTTGAACTGCTGCTGGTTTTGCGCATTGATCTGCTGCTGGTTTTGCGTGTTGAACTGCTGCTGGTTTTGTGCGTTGATCTGCTGCTGGTTTGGCGAATTGATCTGCTGCTGGTTTGGGGAATTGAACTGCTGCTGGTTGTATTCATCGATCTGCTGCTGGTTTTGCGCATTGATCTGCTGCTGGTTTTGCGTGTTGAACTGCTGCTGGTTTTGCGCATTGATCTGCTGCTGGTTTTGCGTGTTGAACTGCTGCTGGTTTTGTGCGTTGAACTGCTGCTGGTTTTGTGCGTTGATCTGCTGCTGGTTTTGCGCGTTAATCAGAGGCTGGTTTTGCGCACTGATCGGTTGCTGATTTTGTGTATTGATCTGTTGCTGGTTTTGCACGTTGATCTGTTGCTGGTTTTGCGCGATGAACTGCTGTAGGTACTGCACGCTGATCTGTTGCTGGGTTTGCGCGACGAACTGATGCAGGTTCTGCGCGATGAACTGCTCCAGGTTCTGTACGTCGATCTGTTGCGGTTTGTACGCTTCGGTTTGATACTGGTTTTCCGCGTCGATATGCTGCTCGGTTTGTTGTGCAGCAGCCTCTTGCTCAAACGAGTGTGCTGACTCTTGTAAATAATTGAAAATCTCATCGTAGGTGCCAGGCACTGAGGGCCCTGGTGAGAAGGGCGTTCCGGGAAGCGATGGACACGGCGTCGCAGACCCCGGGAGGAAGGGCGTTCCGGGAAGCGACGGAAACGACGTCCAGAGCCCTGGCGATAAGGGCGTTTCGGGAAACGATGGAGACAAGGTCTCGAGCTCCGGCTGGTAGGTTGTCGCGAGTCCTGGTTGGTAGAACGCTGCGGGTTCATTTTGATAGAGCGGTGAGGGTCCTGATTGGTGGAACGTCGCAGGTCCCGGCTGGTATAGCTTCGTGGAGTGGGGTGAGTAGGGCATCGCTGACTCTGGCTGACAGAACGTTGCGGACTGTGGCTGACAGTGCGTCGCGGACTCTGACTGACAGCGCGTCGCGCACTCTGGCTGACAGTGCGTCGCGGACTCTGGCTGACAGGACGTCGATGGCTCTGGTTGATGAGGAGGCGTCGCGAGACCCGGCTGGTAGGATATCGCGGGACGCAGCTGGTAGGACGCCATGGACTCCGGCCGGTAGAGTTCCGCGAGCTCTGAAAGAGGGACCGTCGTGGGTACCGGTTGGTAGGACGCCGTAGCCTCCGGCGGAGTGAGCAACGTGACGTTTCTGGGCATGGCGTATCTGGAGGAGCTCTTTTGGACGAGAGGCGACCGAAGCTGTACCTGCGGCTGGCTGCTCTGATTGTACTGCTTGGAAACGCGCACATCGGGCAGCTTTGGAATCTCGACACGACGATAGTGATAAGGGTTGACGCAGACCTCGTCGGTTTTGCCGTTGTACGGGAACTTGCAGAATTCGAGTGAACGGAGCTGGTGATGAGTGCGCAAATCGGTCCACCGCCAAAGTTTGCAGTAGATGACGTGCGGCATGTTCTTGCGATGGTATATCTGCAGTCGGCCGTCCATGCTGCGTGGTATGGTAACGCAACGGGTGTGCGGGTCCGCATTAGTGATCGCGCGTTGCAACTCCTCCAAAGCGCCGCGCTTCCTTCTCAGCTTCTTCACCAGCGTCTCGACCGCCTTCTCTGCCCACCTCTCCTCGGCGTCGCAGCGACACCAGATCATCAGCCTCTTCACCGTTGACGACGTTGTGAACATGTTTTGCAGCGTTGACATCAACGTCCCCTTGCGCTCTTGATCCTCGGCATCCTTGTTGGTGTTCTTTGGATCGCGTCCCTGCATATTGGCCTCTTGCTGAGCACTTGGATTACTTGCTTGCTCTCTTGCTCGTACACCGTCAAACAAGTTAACCCTTGGTTGTACTAGACCATTACTCGGTTACAAGCATCTAACACAGACAATAGCACTTGTCACCAGCGATGTACATATGCAAAAATCCTTCGCAGTTATCACTTTGAGTGCATATGCATCGACCGAGCTGTGATCTAAATCAACCAAATCAAAATATCGTCGTTCGAGATTGTCAGAAAGCGATAATGATCTATCACGACTTGTAAACTACAAGAGGAAACCAAGTTGCCAATCTATCGACGCGTACGCTTTGCTGCTAAGGACAACACTGAAACTACTTTACTCGGTGTTACTGCTCGAACGTCCGATGACTTAAAGAACGATTCCTCTGCGTTGGTGGATCTTAAATACTGTTCTGTCGCCAAGCTGTCTCTAAGATTTGCCGACGAATTTTACGCTGGAGGAGGGAGAAGAAGGCGGATCACTATTAGTGTAAACGAGCGCTTTTATTGTTGGCTCGGCTACTTAAACTACACCTCTTGTAATCGCGCTCAACGACGGTCATCTGGCCACCAAAGTGTAAGGAAACTTTCATTGTCCTGACCGACAACTACGGGGGCAGGTATGGGCACAAGATTGACTATTCTGTGACCCCCCGTGAACGTTATTACCCTACGGACTAAGGCTTTTGCCTGCATTTAAACTATCATTGAGATCACCAAGGCAGTAGAAGTTTCAAGTGCTGAGCGCCCAGAGAGTCTACAAATTTACCCTCGTCCTACTGCACTACCTGCTTCGACGGATCAGAAAATTTTACTCAATTGCCGACCTTTCTTTTCCTTCTATCTGCTTTCTTTTCTGTAATCCGTCGTATAATAACTTTGTAAAATAAATCTTTCAAAATACAGCTTTCAATATAAATGGAAATCGCCTCTTTATTTCTTTCAACAAATTTTAATATTTAAGTCTCCTAAAAGGTTCCCTTGCTCATTGAAAATCTTTATTTCATAAATTATATCAACAATTGTAGATCCATTAAATAATTTAATTGAAATTTTTACACTTTTTTAGTTGCAGTAAAAATTGATATTTATGACATTCATAAAACAAATAACTTATTTTAATATACGTGCTTATTCGGAATAATTCATTTTCCAATGGTATTACAATATACCTCATTTATTTAGAGTATTATTGCTTTATTTTATCTATATTATTTAAGATATTTGTTTTAGTGTAAAACACAAGTTTCGTACATTTGAAAACCTGGATGTAATAATAAATGATTTTTATTTAAACGATCGCTGCTTGACAGCTTAGCCCAATTTACAACAGCAATACCGAAAAATTCGTAGTATTTATTAAATTGTTGCCGTAAATTGTATTCAAAGCCTTAAATTTAATTCGTTTGCACGCACTGCAATCTTTTAAGTTGCTTCTTAGAATTAATGGAGATCCTTCGAAATTTACCGATAGCGCATCTTTCTGACAGTTTAAGAGATTAGTTGTGCCTTCTAGTTGCTTTAGTAGCAATGGTTTACATGGCCTCTCAACTCTATGAAGGTAGGTCTGTGCTTATTTGCTTGTCATTACATTATAATGCCTATAAAAGTAAATAATGAAATAGTAATAGGATATGAAGTGACGCATAAGCTGAAAGCGAGAAGGAACGCACGTTCGGCTCATATGTTTAAGATTATCTTCCTATTATTAAAATAATATTATCATATTAATAACAAACGTACTATAATATCGTGTAGAATATTTTAAGCCAATTAATCATTTGTTACTTTTTCTCTCAGTTAGTATTTCATTTTTTAAAGATAAAGATACTTCATTTTTTGTTTTCGAAATGAACCTTACTCGGTGCAAATACCAATCCCATGTTATTTGAATGATCACCAAATGTTTTATATGATTTATTTGAAATAATGCTGGCATATTGAACATAAAAAATAAAATATTATATTCTTAAATAACAATATATTATCTGACATACTTTTCTACAGAAAAATTAGCAAACTATTGACAATTAATTGACAACAAACATTGTTATCTAATAGCACATTTGATAATTTTTTTAATAATGTGCAAATACGTAAGCATAATAATGTTTTTTTAATATTTATATTTATTCTCAATGAAATATGTTATAGCAGAGTACTTGGAATCAATTATTTTTCATTAGAATTCTTTACCTGTTCTATAGTATCCTTGTATTTAAAAAGTAAATACCATTTTATATTTTCTGTATGTTGAATAATAAAACTTAGGAAATTCGTGAAGAATTAAATCGCGTAGAATCGGTATTTGGCCTACACAAAACAGGAAATTTTTTATTTGATGTATAATACCCGACTATCAAATTTTTCTAATTATCAATGTGTACTATACACAGTTAACGTATGAAAATCATATTTCTAAACAGGCTTACTATTTTCATTTTGTTTAAATTGTACTGAATACTTAGACCAAGTTATATTATGTAAATATGATTTTGTACGTAATAAATATTCTTATTTTATATTCATAATTCTACAATTTATTATAAACTTAGTAATAAATATCGCGATAATTTTTTTATACAGTTGTATGATCCTGACGTCTTTTGTAATGTATCATCAATTTTTTGATACAAAATTCTATAATTGTAAGAATGTTTGTGTTTCATTTTTTTTGTAGGAAGTGAAAATTAAGAATTTAGTGATCTCTTAATACGCCCAGAAAAGCATTTTATTCATTTGTATTATGACAATTTTACATCGTTTTACGAGTCTATTAATTTTTTTAGAAAATAAATAATTGTATTTGTGTAAAATTTTTTAAGAAATTAAATTAAAAAATGTAGCGATATCTTATTATGTATGGAAAGCATTTTTTATTTTTGTATATTTAAAAGAAACAAAAAAAAATAAAAAAGAATAATCGGAGAATTATGAAAAATAATTTGAATAATGTATCTAATCCTTGTTCCTCATTAATTTACTTGTTGGACTGTTCACCGTTAAGTTAAATTAAGTTAAATTAAAGTCATTTAATTTATTTATAGTACTGCATGGCTTAAATCAGCACTTAAGATAAGCCTATATCCATAATTTATGTAAATCGTTTTGGCACGGTGCAAAACTATTCTATCTTAAGTCATCGGTAAATGAAGAATAACTGCTGATTTAATATCGGAAATACTAGAAATAGTACAATATTTGTGACTTACGTATCCTATCGTTGTACGACGTGATTTTTGTCTTCACTTATGCTCGGGCGCTAATATTACGCGTGTAATAATGGATTATTTAAGTCACACGTATCGAAATATACTATTTTACTTTACTCGCACCCCCACTATAAATGAATATACAAATTTTTTCAGTATATGTACAAAATTTCTATAAGAATATATACAAAATCTGTAAAAATATTATACAATACTCATACAAAATTTGTACACATTATTTTCGAAAAAAAATGTGTACAAAATTTGTCTAAGTTTGGTACAAATCTCGTACAAACTGTATAAATTTTATTCAAAATTTGTATGAAATTTATAGAAATTATAAACGCAATAATTGATTTTATTCTAAAAATTGAATAAATAAATAATACAAGCACATTGTGGATAAAATAACGTACAGCTTCTGTAAAAGATCTTATCCTCTTATTCCTCTTTCCTCTTATAAAAAAGAGATAGGTCTCAAAGTAAAGGCAGTTTATTTGTGATCTAATTGGTTGAATGATGGTTACGTGGTTAATAGTTCTTAATAAATGGAAGTAAAGGCAGTTTATTTGTGATCTGATTAGCTGAAAGATAGTCATATGCTCAGCTGTCATGTGATAGCATATACAACAAATATTACTACAGATTTTTCTAAACGATTTTACATTCGAACAGTGTATCAGTATAGTTAACACAAATTTAATACGAATGGGCTGATTTATCATACTAATATCAAAATAAGAATCGACTAATACCTCGATAAAGATATTAATGGGATTTTGCTCTGTGATAAAACTTGAAATCAATAGACTAGGCAGTAAAAGATATGATTTGATAGATTATCACAATAGAATATTGTACAATGATTTCGGCTCTATTAATTTATAAGAAATATTAAACAATATTTTTGAGAATGCAAAATTACCACCGTAAATGTGTACCGAAATCTGTTATTTACATCGTGAAGGATATAGTTATAGAAATCTAATGTTTTTAGAACTTGTACTACATTTTTTATTGTGTTTTCCAAATTTTTTAATGATTTTCAATACACAAGTTTGAATTATAAAAATATAATAATTATTGATAAAATTTTTAAACCATGTGCGATAATATAGCAGCATATTTATCTATTAATAAATTATATTGGCATCTATATCTCATATCAAATCATGGGAATATTAAATGCATGTCGAGTTTTTGAATTTTCGATTTCGGTTATAAATCTTTTGATCTATATTCATGCATTAATGAATGGAAAAAAAAGACGAAAAAGATAAACGCATAAAGCACGCTAGCTATCGCTAATATACGTAAAATAAAAAAAAATTGACGAAAATAACCGATTGAACCAAAACTTGAAACCGGAACTTTCACCAGACTAGATTTGTATATCACTTTGTCGACGGTGTGAAATTACTATTTCAATCTATTTTACACATGATCTGAAAACTATTTAATAGCGATGAATTAAAAATCATCAATACACACACACGCACATAAAATTCTTATTTTCATTTATATTTTTTTTATTAAATTTAATTTCATCGATATTACTAGTAAAAATATAGCTCATTGAATACGATCAAATAATTCATAAATAATTTTCAGATTTCATCTGATATAGAATATAAAATTATATGTATCGTAACAGTGATAACAGTAGTAAAATAAGTCTGCTAATATGAAGGTCTCGGTCAGATATTTTCTTTTATTTTTTTATTTTTTCTATATCGTACATTTTTTATTTATGGAAGCTAGCCACGTTATTTTATCTATAATATATGTGTGTATGATTTATATATTCACTCCATTTTTAAGAACGAGGCAATTATTGAGTACAAATTTTGTATAAAATTTATACAAAACTTATATTAAACGGGTACAAATTTATACGAATATTGTACAATATTTATAAAAATTTGTATATACGTATTTTTGTACAACTTTCATACATATTCTGTTCAAAATTTAAATGCTTATTTACAGTGGAATTCCATTGACAAAAGTCTTTTATGAATTTACAAAAATCTAAATTTTTCATATTTTATACTGTTTATTGATCACTAACAAATGTGTATATTAATTTGGAGATCTTAATATTCATTAGGAAAACTAACCAAGCAGTTAAGTAATTAAATAAATTCATTGATTTTAAGAAAAAAATTGTCAAACATCAAAATAAATGTCGAATATGTTGACATTTGAGAATTTTTTTCTTATAACCAATGAAATTACATTTAAAATTACTAAGAATAAAAAGTTCTTAGAATCAAGCAAAGAATGCACTCAAATTTTTCCAAAATATTTCCAGCAATTTTTGAATTTTTCAAAACTTGATATATTGCAATATCAAAAAAATAGCTCAAAACTTTTCGAAAAAATTCTAGTGTATTTTATGAGTTATTCTAAGAACTTTCTCTTCTTTTTCATTTTCTCCAAAAGTTCATACTTTCCAAGAAAAAAATTCATGAATGTCTTGGCAAAAATATCGTCATTAACGCGTCATTTTAAACACACTAAAATAAAATATCGATCCCGGAACCATATATTATGAAAACTTAAATATTTATTCCATGAATTATTGAGGTTTCAATTAGATTGCAAACAGAGGGCCATTCGGAAAACTCAATTTTACAAAAAAAATTTTGAAATAATCGTGTTTTTTTGTATTTAAATAACACTTTCTCATAATTAATAACTTTCT